TGGGTTTCCATCTCCCCAATATCGTCCCGAAAACAGCGTTAAACGGAGGGTTCGACATGAGGTTTCCGTTTAAAAATATTTTTTTTTTTTTTTTTTTTAATAAAAACATAACTTTCCCTGCCCAAAACTAGGATTTTTCCCGAATAAACGAGGATTTCACGGAACTGAGGGTTTCACCAGAGCTTGGGGCCATTTTATGCGAGTAATGAACGTAACTGAGGCTGTAGGGGGCCTAACAACAGAACTTTGCGAATGCGAGGGACCAGTGGCACAGAACTTGGGGGTTATATGGCATTGGGGCGCGACGTCTTCCGTACGTTTTTCACTCCCGATACTCTTATACCCGCGAAATAAATGCACCAGTACTCACCATAGTGGTTAATAATCCCTCGTGGCTGCCGATGGTGCCCTCAGGATTAATAATTTTCCCCCTTTTGCGGGTTTTCAAGGGGTTTTCTCCCGGGGAGATACAATGGCACGTGGAGCGTGNAAGGCGGGGCGCGGCAGATTTCATTCAAATATTTGAATTGGGTTTTTAACAATTGGACTTTATTCATTTGATTATGTATTCTTTATTATTATTGAACTGTACTAAACCGTATTGTGAATTATAGAGCGGATTTTAGCCCTGCCTACGACTGAAATGGAATAATTTATCCCTGAGGGACACTCTCCGGAGAATAATTAGAAACTCCTCAACCGAATATTAAACTTCCGAACCGAATACAAACTGGAAGATTTCTAACATCCTCGCGACTAGGGGAGCCCGAGAATTTCACTCGTTTATGTGTTCTCCCCAAAGACAAATCAAAAAGGGTTGTCAAAAGCGCGCGGGATGGCTCGGTGTGTCGGCCCTGATCCTCCGTGACCTGTGGTCCTTTAATTTCATTTACGTAGGCTTTTCTTAATCGAAACTGAACAAAACTAAACTGAAGCTGATTAACGAGATTAATTATTCCGGAAAAATAAAAAAAATTATTTTTATTTTGATTATTTTCACCGTTCATCGGCGGGGATAGTTTGACGCGGTCACCGGATTTTCACTCCTATTCGGGGTATTTCTCGGGGAAAAACGTAACATCGGGCTTAGCCTCTCTAGGGAAGAATGACATAGCTTTAGTTTTCTTTTTTTTTTTTTTTTTGTTGATGAGGAACATAGATTCGCGCGTCTCACACTTCGGAATGGGGTTTTTCTCTCGAAATAACGTTTCTCTCTCTCTCGCCTATATAATTACCCTACTGTTTTTTTTTTTCCAAGTGACGAATCGGCCTGGAATTTCGTCACAGACTATATTTTCAAATTCAAATATTCTAGTACTGTGCAGTGTCCAGTCTTTATATGCATGTAAACTTGAAGAACAAGTTCGACCCATCAGTGCAATTTATATTAAGATTATTTCTGAGAACGCAAAATGACGTACGAGAGCTCAGGATGAGTGAAATTTGACAGGGAAAAGATCTCATCATTATTATTTAATTGAACAATTCATCGGAAATAGCTGATCTGTGATCTTATGAGCACTCCAAACACCCCACTCCAAAGATGCTTTGATTGTCATTAGCCCTCGAGACAACGCGATTGCTTCAGGACATCGACTACTTCCAATTCCACTCCTCAAGTTCTCCAATCTGGGAGGAAATAGCAAAGGACCTGGGTCAACGCTGGAACCACAATTGCTACACGAGCATCAGCAAAAGATCGTGAAAATAGCTTGGGAGAACCAGGGCATTTTCCTTCTGAAGGAGGGACACGAGGCCAAGACACTGAAGATGCAAGCGAAGTTCGAAAACCTTTAAAAAATCAAGCGTTTTCCTTGGTGCAAATACCATGAGTAGATTACATGGTATTTTACAACAGCAATATCATTTGTGGTATATTTTGAAGTATTTCTTTTTGTTTTCTTTTTTTGTTCATAAAACAATACTCTATATTGAATGGAATTACTAATTGTTGATCAGTCGTGAACTCCAATGCTAAAATATTGAAGATAAGGGCAGGAAACACACAAGATTTTTTTTCAAGTAATATTGTTGTCAATCACATCAGAATTTCAAATTTATTGGCGTTCATTTTCAGTTCTTGCAAATATCAATTTTTAATCAAAGTTTGTTCATTCACCTTTCCTTTCAAAGTAAATCAAATTACCTTGGGGTAGAGCATTGTAATGCTGGAAATTACATTAGAATATGTGTGGAGTGAAAATGCCACGAGAATATGTTGTCATTACAATTTATTATTCATGTGAGTTAATTTCTACCACTTTCCAATGACAAGTTTTTTGGAAACTAAAATTGGATTTTTACACGAATTTTACGCAATTATGATTTTTAATGTCCTCAGCTAGATACAAGCACTTGGTAAGGAGGCTCCAATATCTGAAAAAGTATTAATTTTTGGTCTCTCATCCTGAATAATTTAATGAAAAGGGTAATTTGAGTAATTAATTATTATGTTTATTAGTACCTATTATAAATATAGTGCAGTGTTCTGATAGAGAAAGGTCTCTTTAAGGAAGCCACGAAAAATAGCAGGCTCATAGATCATAGTGCTTTTACCATAATCTGCGCTAATTTCCAAGGTGTTGCACCAATCAGCGAAGGATACGAGATGTTATTTCGTTGACCTAGAGAACAAAAAATAGGAAAATGAAATTTTCAATGCACGAATGTTGAATCACGGAATTATGAAGTAAACTGAATAATTGGTTATTTGTGGGACAAATAACAATAGACGTGTTGAATTGAAATGTCAATGGACGTTTCTTTGTTCGAAAAGGACCTCTATGAAAGGATTTTTGACATTCTCTTTTAAAACTATTCATGTCTTTCAAATGTCAAGACACATTTTTTACATGAAATTTTTCCAGCTATGATTGTATAGAATTGTTATTTGAAATGTCAGTGAAGGTATGATTGTAAAGAATTGTTATTTAAAATGTCAGTAAATTCGTTCTGCAATTATGTACGTTGGATCCGTCGGGCCATGTGATGCTGTTGAGTAGGAATGTTTTGTAGACGAATGGAAGCATGAGAAAGCGAGTTTAATCGTCGTTACTTCGTCAAGTTTGAATTTTATTAGTTTAGCCATGAATACTCCCAAACTGCCAAACACTGTTATGCATCTAATGACACGAAAATTGATTTTAGTATTAATTCATTATCTCGTCGCATTAATTCAACTCTTTTGTTTCATATTTATGCACTGGAAGTGAAATACTGAGCTCATTTCCATAATTCTATTGCTGATTTTTCTGCAAGCAATGAAAGTATCTTATTAGTTACGATTTGATACTCAGTAAATATCAAAACGACATGAGTTGATATGACTTAATTTTTTGTTGAATATTCTCAGAATGTGAGAGATACTAAAATGGTTGATATCTTTTTTGTAGGCATGAAATGTGGAACAATGATCTCAGTATATTTTTTAGAATTTATCAAAAAGGAAATAAAGGTTTGATTCTTAGATACATCTCACCGATTTTCTGTAACTAATTCTTAATTCAGATGAATCTCTTCTCGAATTTTAGAAATGAACGACTATAAAATTCAACGGGGTAACTTTTCGAATTCAGTTTATTGCTAATTTTCAGAGACTCATTTCTAATTTTTAAAAATGTATCACCTCATTTCAATGATGGAAATCTTTGATACTTTCTCTTTTTACTTGCCTGACTTTTCATTTTTCATTCGACTATCATTTTCGACAAGTAAAAATTTATAGATTTCAATAAGGAGCTCATCTTGATAGATCTACATCTGATCTGCCCTGATGAAAAAAGTTGTTTGACCAATGTTTCTCGACTTCTATTAGTAAACTGAAGACTCAACAATTTTTGAGAGTAGAATATCTACGCTGACAAAGTAAAGAACTTTCGATATGAAATTCTTAACTTCTTTCATGAGAAGAAATCTATTCTAGTTGAATCAATTAGGTCAACAATTTCTTCGTATCAAATTCAAAATATTTGACTACAAAGATGTAACAATAAAAATTATTGACGAAAGTTTCTCTCCTCTCAACATCAGGCCCTTAGTTCAGAAACTTTTTAACCATGAGTTTCGAACATGATCAAAGATGTACTTGTCAAAGGAATAAAAAAAAATGTTCACAGACTACAATTCAGATCTTCACAACTTTCATTGTCTCCATTAAATCCTAAGTTATTTTCTAAAAACTAAAAGATCTGAGAATGAAATTGATTCATCCTGTTTTATCTATTAATTAAAAAATAGAGAAAAAAAATTACCAGTGGGTGACGGACGAATTTTAACATTAAAAATGTGTGCCCCACAGATGCAAACAAGTACATCAGTCAACAGAACGAAACACTGCAACAGCGGTTTCGTTCCGCGATTCCATAATTACATTCTCATGACATAGGGTTTCGTGCAAAGAGTCAACAACAGACTGTGCATCAACCGCAAAGGACTGATTGGACATCTTAATGGCCATTTGAGTTCCTCAGGGTAGTAAACGACGATAGGGTCAAGGGCCAACCCCTTCACATAGAAAATGGAAGTCCTTGATTAGTGGTAGCTCAGTCTCGTGTTGTCCTCCTCGTTCTTCTCAACTTGTATTTTGACACTAAATGCTTATGAGCTGTTGACTCATTCGAAGACCCTGTCTTGTAGTCCGGGGGTCCTTCTACGGGGGCTGAGGATTGAATGAATGAATTGTTGACGCCATAACTTCGCGAGTTAGGCCTTTCTGAGTGTATACACTATTAATCTCTCTATTATATCCGTATGTACAAAAATTTTGAGTCCTTAGTTTTGAATGGGAATGGTCCCAGTGAGTGATGTGTTGTCCTTACTTCCATGACCACAATTTTCCTAAGAGGTGAAGCTTGGAAAACATCCCTGAAATTAGGATTAAAAAGGATTATAGTTTGACTCTGAATACAGGTTGATGTGTGTCCAGCAGTGCAGGTCACCATTCAAGAGAATAAACTATCTGAGGCTATGACTGCTCTAGATTCTGGATGAGGAACGAAGACGTTGATGATGTAGTTGGTGATGTTCGTAAAGATTTTTCTGTTTGAGTATCCTCTTTGCATGAGTAGAATGAGATGCAAATCAGTTATTGTAAATAGTACTATCAGTGGGCCTATGAAGAGAAGATCGCTGTATTTGTACAATCAATTTTTGTGTTCTCAAATACTTCACAAACTAATCTCCGAGGAGAAGTGATTGACCATCCCTAACCTCGTCGTTCCATAACCTTACTGATGAAATGCTTTGATGATAATTGAACCTCACCTTTCTTCACTGTTATCCTAATTCCCAATCAATTTTTATGAGTATTGGTCGGATCACTTGATTTTAGAAAATGTTATCGCATGGAAATTGAGCTGGTTTACTTCAAAATGCATTCATTGGAGGTTATGGCTGATATATTTAATTTATTGAGAACACTTTGTACACTTTAACATCACTGTTATATTTAACCAAAAGATTTATAACCAACCAATATGAAAAACCATTACATTCTTTGCTTCATGATTAATTAATAATGAAATGTTGAAAAAAGGACGGTAGTGGTAGGTGGTATGGGTGGTATCCCCCGCCATCTTAGATAACACCTGTGGTCCGCCGGTGTCAGTTGACGAATCGGACTCAATTGTCGTAATTACAATAAATAACGAGAAAATTGTCAAGAACAAATGATAAAATTGACAAACAATTAAAATACAAAAGATTCTAGGTCCGAACAATCCCAAAAAAACAGGGAAACATAATTTTTAATGTGTGTCGGCCAAGTACATGGGCCATTTTTTCATTATTTTTTAATAAATAATTGGAAGAGGAACAAACGGTTCTGATCTTAGAACAATCATGTACAGACGTAGTACAAACGACCTGAATTTTTTTTTTTCATAATCAATCATCTGTCGGCTAAGGTCATATCAATGATGTCAAATGCGTAAACGAAATAGAGTCGAGTTGCCTGGATGTCGTCTGAGAGTCGATTCAAACGGGAAATATATGAGAATCCAGTTTCAATCGACTTATGATTTAGTCGATTGTGAACCGATTATAAGACGAGCTTCTTCATCAAATCACAATTGAGTTGCTTGGCAGTCGATTGAGAGTCGATTCAGGCAGTATATATTCTAGAATCGAGTTTCAATCGACTTATGGGTCAGTCGATTATGAACCGATTATAAGACGAGCTTCTTAATCAAATCATAATCGAGTTGCTTGGCAGTCGATTGAGAGTCGATTCAGGCAGTATATATTCTAGAATCGAGTTTCAATCGACTTATGGGTCAGTCGATTATGAACCGATTATAAGACGAGCTTCTTAATCAAATCATAATCGAGTTGCTTGGCAGTCGATTGAGAGTCGATTCAGGCAGTATATATTTTAGAATCGAGCTTCAATCGACTTATGGGTCAGTCGATTATAAACCGATTATAAGACGAGCTTCTTAATCAAATCATAATCGAGTTGCTTAGCAGTCGATTGAGAGTCGATTCAGGCAGTATATATTCTAGAATCGAGTTTCAATCGACTTACGGGTCAGTCGATTCACGTATGAAAAAATGGTATAGGAAGTTTCTATACGATTTGCGTATAGAATTTCTATAGGTTTTTCGTATATGATATTCGGATATTTCTATACAAAAATTCCCTATACGGATTATTTCTATACGAATTCGTGTAGAAATTCGTATAGAAATGAACCGTATAGGAAATTTTTGTATAGAAATATCCGAATATCATATACGAAAAACCTATAGAAATGCTATACACAGTCCGTATAGAAAGATTCTATACGATTTTTTCCTACGTGTTATGAACCGATTATAAGACGAGCTTCTCAATCAAATGAGAATCGAGTTGCCTGGAAGTTGATTGAGAG